CTACAATATTTGAAAACTAGTTTTAAAAAATTAGATCCTTTCAAAAGTCAATGAGTTCATTTGAAGGATGATTGACCGAAATTCCTGTAATTCGTCAGTTAGGGTGATATGTATGTTATACATGTAGATTCTCTTTATTTATATTCTTTCCTCAGATTTCAATTTACAGTTCAAAAGTAACAAAAGAAAATCAACATATTCATTTGATGAAATTGATCATCAATGAGGAAATAAATGTACATCTATTCATTAATATTTATTTTTTGTTATTAAGTTTTCAATCGCATCTGGATCTTTCATAATACAAGCAAAGTTTTACATAAATACCCTAGTCGAGACTCCCTAGAAGAATCCCGGTGGAATCCCTGTCGTGAGTTCCTGGGGGAGTTAAGAGGAAATTCGGGGACTCCCCAGGGAATTGATGAGTATTATCAGAGTCTCTCCAGAAGCCATCATTGGAATTCTCTGAAAAATTCAAATTTATGAAAATTTTAGAGGAACTCTTCGGGAAGAGTCGACTAGGGTAGACTATATTTTAACTATTACCGTATAAATTAGATGACCATTGACATTCAAGAATATGAAAATTCAGTTTTCAATAAAATAATATTCAATGATGCAATTATACGAACATAATCTTTATTAAACTAAATCAATTTCGACTTGCTAATTGATCTATGAAATATACAATTCAATTAAAATATCTTTAGAAGATATGACACAATCGTACAAATTACAACAATTGATTGTATATACATGTCAATGAACAGAATAAAAGCAAAAGAGATATTCTTATATTAACGTTTAGCGCACATCTTTTCTTTGATAGATTCATGAAAATTTTCGTAGAAGTTCTAAAAAAGTATTCATATTTACCGAGAAAGAAACAATTTTATAACATATTTTATTTATTAATTTTTTTGCACAGTATTCTCTTTAATAAAAAAAATTATTTCAATATTAGATCCAATTTAAGTTCTGTGGCTAATACAGGCGGTTCAGGTGTATCGACAAACGAAGTTAAATCAATTTTAACAGACTTTCAAAATATTCAGCCGTTTTTAAACAAATTATTACGAAATGCTATTCTCAAAAAAAAATCGCAATGGTCTTTCTCCGGTTCGAATCACATTGAGTACTTACATGTTTTCCAGCAATAGTAAAAAACCGAAGTATAATAACAGTAAATCCAAATGTATAACTATATTCTTGCTAGAATAATACAAGCAAAAAAAAAAGTCAATTGCTTCTTTTTTTTTGTAAATAATTATTTCTTACAAGTTCAATTTTGTTCATTGAAACAATATTTAATATAATCCAAATAATACCAAATATAGTAACTAATAAATCAAAACGATTATGATGTGATTGCCAATAACCAGCAAATTTAAGTGCAATACATTTCATTATAACTTCAACAAGAAATAGAAATGTAAATAATGATGATATTAATGCTAATATTTGTGTTGTTTTATCATTAACACTCCATGGTTTGTAAAGTAATGCACAATTAAGTAAAACAAGTATAGCAGAAAATTTTTTAAATAAATGATTTTGTGTTATATCAAACATATATGAACGAAATTTGCTATTTTCTGGTCGAGGTGGTAAACGTAATGGTTGTGCAAGTTTTATACGACCTTTTAAATCCATCCAACGACGTTGATCAACTGTTAATAAAGCTGTTCCCTTAAAATATATTATTCAAAAACAAACAATAGGTTTTTTTTCCATTCAAAATAAATAATAATACCAAAACATACCTTATTTTCTGAATAATTTGCCATAACAACACCCACAAATAGATTTAAACCAATTAATGAACAAATAAAGACAAATATATGAACAAAGATAGCATGTTTCTAAAGAATTTTTTTAGTAAAATAAATATCAAAGATGATATTAGTTCGGAGTCTAAAAAACACGAACCGATTCCATCTCTGATAAACAGTGTTTTTAATAATAAGGATCTACCTTTGTTACAAAGTATCCAGAACTTTTGAATGATACTCTATTTTACACTTTGCTTTTGATTGTATGCAACCTCTCAATTTCTAAAATTTGTGATTAATAGTGATGTATTCGATATTCTGTCATCTTCTAGTTAACCTTTGGATTTGTTGGAAAGTTTTCACTGTCTTTCAATAATTATTACACATGCATAATTAATTGAGACAACTTTTTTCATTACCGTTGGTTGAAATAAGTAGAACTCAGCGATAAAACTGATTTAGGTATTTTGGTTTTAGCATTACGTAAAACTTTTCTTTAGACACAATACTGTCACTCCATAATCAGTGATATTTTTATACAAAATGTATCATCTGTATTTAAAGTAAACTAGTATTAATTTTATTTAATATTTTCATTATCTAAGAGTGCGGGTGGGTGTGAGTGTAGGTATTAAGGAAAGATGACATACACAACCACACCCACACATCCTGTACCATTCATGAATTTTGAGAAATACTCAAAATGGTATATATACCACGCCTGGCACCAAGAGGTTAAAGGTAAATTACATTTTTAGTCTTGTGTTTGCAAAGAGAATGATATTTTTGATAAAAGCAATACCATTTAGCCAACAAAAAAGATGGTTTTCATGGAATAATCGGCTTAGACCTCAATTTTTTAAAGTTAAAGCTTGAAGTTTTTAACTTTAACTTAAAATACTCTATCAGATAACTTTAAAAATAGACTCCCATTCCTAGTCCAAATGTTTTCAAGCTACAGGAGAAGGGAGATCAATGGCTCAGGAGACAAAATTAAAAACTTTTCAGATTCGACTAAGTTTTGAAGACTCCAGAATTGATGAGCGAAAAATCAGAGGATATTCATGATAAATACATATGAAATATTTCATAGTTTTTAACATAACTCTAACATTGTACATTTTGGAAACTTTGTGATACTTTGTTTAAAGAAATAGAATGTAATTTGGCACTTTGATGACAAATATAAAATGTCATCTGGATTCTTTTTGTCTCAAACCTCTATTAGAAACACTGCTGATAAATACATCGATATGGAATTGAAATCTCAAACAGAATATAATTGTCTTTGTCTAATCCGAACAAGGCTATGTTCGAATACATTTCTTCATCAATCTTTTAGTCAATCGTATCGAAAATATAATAAGGGAATGATTCATCTGTTATAACCAGACGCTATAAATGTGTTATCTTGCAGTTGCATCTCATAGTTAGACATCTGCCGAGACTCTTATTCTTGATTAGACATGAATACGTATCAAGATCAACGTTCATCTTTGTATGTCCTTCTCTACCTTAGTAAATACCTTTCGAATCTTATGAATGCATCAAGGATGAGATTCTTCGTACATTTCCATTCATAATTAATAATATACAAAGTAATCATACTTACTGGACCCATACGATCCATAATAATATCACGAATATCAAGCCATCCTTCAAGAGAAAGAACTTCAAAAAGAGCTAACATAGCACTACCAATATAATCAAAATTAAAACTATGTGGATTTGCCCTAAAATGAATTTATTTATGAAAAAGACATTAAATAAAAATAAATTTCTAATAACCTACCATACACGTGGTACTAACATAACAGGATCATCTCCATCAATATTCATTTTTGATACATAAAGTTTTCTCCAAAATGTTCCGTGACATAATGCCTAGATATAATTATTATTCTTAATTTAATATTTGAAAATACTTCAATTTAATTATACTCTATTATCATAATATTCTTTATCATTGCAACGTGCTAATTGTCCACCAATGATTTGAATACCATAAATCGCAAAAATAAACATTAATACAACGAATAAAATTGATACCTACAAAAAACTGTGGTTATGTACTATTCTCAGAAGTGAAGGGATGTGGGTATGGTTAACATGAATTGCATTCGCATCCACACCCACACCCTAATTAATGAGTCCTAGATTGTCAAAGGCTATCATAGATTCTGATAGGCAAATACATTGACACTAACTCATTTCTTACCAATAGGATTTCTTTAAATCCTCGACAAATTTCATAAACAATTTTTCTCATGTCAGGTAGCAAAATAAAAATTCTCAAAGGCCGTATTGTTCGAAGAAGCATAAGAAATTGTGCAAAACTATTTGCCGGAACATTTCGTGGTAACCAACAAAGAAAAATAAGACCCACAAAGAAAACTGCAACATCAAAAATTCCACCAATATCTCGAATTAATGCTTTCGGTGTAAAAAGTAGACCATGTGCAAAAATTTTTAATGTTAATTCAACACCCATAGATATAACAAATATATATTCAGCTATCTACAAATATATAATATAAATATAAATATCAATAAGATATAATAGATCAATCGTATACTTGTAATAAAGGTTCTTTAACAACTCGATTAACAGGTGTTTCAAATGACATACTAACTGTTGATAAAATTGTTAGAAATATCATAATCCAATCAAGATATGTAACTAAACCAAGATATTTACTAGACATAAGATATATTCGTTAGATTTAGTAAGACAAATAGAGAGAAAACTTACTGTCCTTGTTTATATCGACTAAATTTTAATTCTTGTCCAAGATGATCTTTTGTATTAACATGATAACGAGCTTCAACAAGAAATTGACAAAATTTTCTAAAATTACTTTCACGTCCAATTGTAAATAAAGGTGTATCGAAATATAGATGATTTTCACGAAGATCTTCTTCATGTTGATTTCTAAATAAAAACAATACGACATTAATTTTCATTGAATACATTTTAGTTTAAAATATAAAACAAAAAAAATTCGAATCGAAATGATATTTTTATAAATTAAATCATACATTGTAAATATTCTCATACAGATGATTATATGTCTCATTCTATTTGAACTATGATCTATATACCGTTTTAATTCAGCTTGTTGTTTTCGATATTGAAATATTTTAATATCATAATCATCTTGATTTCGTCCATTTAATGTACCACCATCATTATTTTCACGCATATAATGTGCCGATTTTAGTGGATAAATTGAACGATGCATGGAATTTCTATTTTAATATGAATAATAAAAGAAATTAAATCAATGAAAAACTTTAATCAATAAATGATCTTTTATTTGTTTACTTTCGATCAAGTTGAATTTTGTTTTCTTGTATACCTACTGGCAATGTATGATCATTTAGAGTTGCGATATGTACTTGAGTAGCATCGCCACTTAATAAACGTTGATTATTTGCATTGCTAAAATATTTGTATGTTTGTTTATAGACTTAGGGCATACCAAAAATTGTGGCGGCGGCCCTGTAATATTTTACAGAAGGTTTTATGAAGTTTTTCTCGATATATTCTGATAGCTCAGGTCGTGCTCTATAATTCTATGATATTTCATAAATCTTTAAACAATATATAATATTGAAAACAAAGCAAAAATAGTGAGTGGTTCACAAAAAAATGTTTTTGAAGCAAGTTTATCAAGCTTTTATTACATCAAATGTTTAAAATAATCACCGTGGTTATTTACACACATCTGCATTCGTTGAATCCATTTATCAAAAGTTTTTTTATGCTCTCCTTTTTTTCAATGACTTCATAAATTTGATCACAGCTTCATGCAACGATTTGTACGTGGATGTGGCATTATTGTTACACCTTCCGATTGAAGATAATTGACTACATCTTCATGAATATATGATTTTCCATTATCATGATGAAGTTTAATTGATCGAAAGCCTAAGGAAGATCATTAGTTCTTAACTTCATCAATAACTGGTGGCAAACAATTATTGATGTAATATTGATGATCGATTATTTGTCCACGTTTAACGGAATGAATCAAAACTGGACCAGCTGATTTGAAGAAAATAGACAGGAGAGTTCTTGGAGAAAAATGGCTACGTTGAATCACCGTTGGAGGATTTTCACTTGTTACTCAAGCAGCATTCGATGATTTTCGACAGATTTACTTGTGATAAAATCATGATTCATCACCTGTTACTACATCACATAATCTCTATTGGGGAACATAACGTGCAGTAATTTTTTTCAACTGCAAATGGTCAGAAATAATTCGTTGGACGGTCCCATGGCTTAGACCACTTTGTGCTTCGAGTTTGCCAACTGTAAAATAAGGTTCATCATTAATAAGATTACGAACTTGTCTAATATTTTTAGATATTGTCTCCATTATAGGTCTGCCAGGTCTTTCTTCATCTTCAACTTCTGCTCGACCTTCATGAAACCATTTTGCCTATCTTTGAACAGTTCTGAGAAGAGGAGCTTCATCACCAAAGACAATATGTAATTCATTATGAATAACTATTGATTCAATATGAAGTACAGTACGCACTTTAATATAAATACGAAAATATTCTTCCTCCATTTGAAAAGAAGTGATTAATTTTTGATCGTATTATGATCTATGTTGGAAACACTATGGTATATTATCTTCAATGTATTATTTCTATTTTCTTCTTTTTTTCCTTTTAATTTTCTCCTCTCTTCTCTTTCTTTTCTCTATCTTTTTAACTTCTTTGATATTAGTCTTCGTTTATACATGTGAACCACACGCGCTCTGTTTGTTTTTTTTGGGTGTGTGTGTGTGTGTAGTTAGTTCTTGTATTTTTTCAAGATGAAAATTTGTAAAAGCTGCAGAAAACTTAAAAGTAGTATCAAAACTTTTGCTTATATGATGCCACTTGAAGATTTATGAAATATCATAGAATTATAGAGCACGACTGGGGCTATCAGAATATGTGGAGAAGAAATTTCCTAAAATCTTCTGTAAAATATTACAGGGTCGGCGCCATTACTTTTAGTATGCCCTAAGTAGAAAACAAGAAAAATTATTCAAACGAACTTGACAATATTGGTGACAGCTGATCGTTTCATTGTTCCACCTATTGATCGATATGCTGGTAAATGTAATATTCTAATTGTATGCCTTTTATTATATATATTTGTTGAAAATTCTGGTGGATATGAATAAATATGATCTTGATTAACAAATTGACGCATAAAACTATCACGAATTTTTGGAATTATAAATTCATCTGGTATGTGTGATAATTCTATCATTTGTGGATGATCAGGAAAACGTTCAAATACACGTAAACGCCATGGTAATTTTTGTTGAATTTCAGCGCTAGCTTCACGTGATTTTAACTAAAATATGAAGAAGAAGAAGAAGAAGATTAACTTATGATAAAAGCTCGAATATAATAATCAAATATAAGATTTACATCTATCTTCCTCACTCTATCGTTAATGAATAATAGAAAAATGTGTAGACAATATGTATGTTCATTTTTGACCTCCAAGAAACTATTTCAAACGAGGCCAAAAAAAAAGATACTCTCTGGTTTTGTTTTTGAATATAAGTTTTATATCATAATTGTTTATTTCTTTTAATACACTTTTTGTACTTATCTCATAGATTTTTGGTTCTTCTAAAGTAGAGTAATCGAATCAATTTTGAGGATCATATTAATAGATTACTCTTCCCACGAGGGAACCACTCGAAGTGATTCACCGCTTTTGAGTTCATATTGTGGGCATATAGAAAGAAAATATTGTTCGATGTTTTTCTAGAAACTGTAGCAAACGTTTAAATTTTTGTATTGTTATCAAAACTCAATACTTTTGAATAATATACACATATAAAGTTTGTCTTTAAGATAAAGAACATACTAATCTTGTGTACTGTATAAAATAAACACGATTATTAGATAGAATCTTTATTAATGAGAGAGTTATACACATTTCTTAACCTTTGAGACACCCGATATACATACTGGTTATTTAGAAAATTTTTATTAATCTTAATGTCTTGAATAGACATAATGCTTTATTTGACCGTTTTTCTTCTTCTATCATGCATGACATATTAATGCTCATTATTCTATATTCAGATGGTCTATATGAAGTCTTTCCATTCATTTCTATCTGATATTCAAAATAGATACGATATAATGCTATAGATCAACTGATATGTATTAGCATTTATTAGAAAACTATTATTCTGTTGCAAAAATTAAACTCTTATTGTTAGAAATTTCTCTAATTCAATGTACATTTATAAACTGTTCTGATTCATAATTAATAATCTATATATAATCGTTAACTTGGTTAATAGTAAAAAAGAAATTCACAAACCTGTCTAATCATTTTCGCGTCTTCGTCAAGCTCAAGATTGTCCAAAATGACGGCAACGAAAAATGAAAGAACGATCTAATTCAAAACAAAAAAAGAAAAAAAAAGAATGTAACACATTTAACAAAGAACAAACTTAAAAGCAATACCAACAACAACAATCACAGTCAAATAGATCATAAAAAAAAACAAGACAACGAAATATTCTCTAGATTTTTCCTATCAAATTTATACTAATATGATAACAAATAAATAGTACCAAATCTTATATACTATATAACATCAATTCATCCGTTTTTTTTTTATATTAAAACTTGCAACATTGACATATAAAAAGCTAATCAAATAAAAATGCATTTCATATTCCAAAGATACCCTGTGTTGTTAACTTACAGAACTAGTTAATAAATGAAAAAAAATAAAGAAAAGTGCTGTTTGACATAAAAAGAATATTCCATATTTATAGATTTTATCCATAGCTAAATACATAACTTCTGTCCAACCATCATTCATAGCAATATGAAACATAGACATAAATGCCTGTAAAAGTATTTTATTAAACGAATACAATATAAAAAAAAAAAAAAAAACTTACTAGAGGAAATGTTTGAAATTCTTCAAGATCTTTAATAAAACAAAATAATTGCATACTAATTGCTGATGCTATTAATAATAAACACATAGTAAATAAAATTAAATTACCAATTTTTTTGCCCGGACCAAAAATCTTAAGTAATAAATATAATAGATGATTTTTTTAAATTTATTCTAATTACTTTATGAATAAAATCTTCTAATAATGGACTTGATCTAAGTAAACGAACAACACGTAAAACTTGAAAATATGTAAAATCAGTTCTATAAAATGCTGGAATACAATGAATTGTTGTTCCTATTGCAAGAATAAATTCAAATCTCAATGTAGATTGTCGAATATAATTTTTAAAATTCATTGAAAATATTTTAAAAAGTACTTCGAAATCAAAAAATAAAGTAAATAATGTCTAAAATAAACACAATGAATATTATTGAAGATCCTTTTTTTTTATTTTCGAAAATTTTATTTCTACCTCAATTTTATGATAAAATTGAAGATTTCTTTTATCGATTTCTTCATTATGTGTATGCTTGATTGTTGCTGTAAAGATTGCATTTGCAAGTACAACAAGCATAACAATTGTTGTAAATATTGATGATTGAACAATTTTTAAAAATAGAGTTCGTACTACACCTTTCTTTTGCTTTTCATTTCTATTGACTAATTTTAATTTTTTCGTATGATCTTTTTGAAGAATCTATATGAAAATAATGCTTAAATTTCAATTCAAAAATAATTTTGATTTACTTTTGTTGTTCCAATATCTGATAATGCTGCTCTTGAACTCCACATTTCTTGAAATTGAACACGAATTTCAGCAAATGTTTCAATAATAGCAGCAATGAATACATTCTAAAATCAAGATTTTCTTTTTTTTTTTTT